CAACTCTGCCCCGAGTTTATTAGCCAGTAAATTGTACTTTCGCTTCTTTTCGGTCTCGACTGCTATCAACCTGGTCTGACCAGTGATACCAATCACTATCAGGATTACTTCACATCGCTTCTTATAATATAATAGAATGTCCAGTCGATCCGCTTTTATTATAATTGAAGTTCTTAGTCGCGTATCGACTCTGATTTCGACGTTCTCGTTAGTGACGATTTCCTGAACGGAGTGGCTCCACAAGCGTGGAAATGTTTTTATACCATACTTTTTGCAAAGTCCTAAATGAATACATTACAGGACCTCGTCGTGTCTTCTTGTATAGTCATAACATTTTCTCACACTGCGTTGCTAGGTCGTTTACCGTCTTCACACAATGCATACAATGTTGGCACATACTCTTCTCAGCTCCAAACCTATTTCTGTCTTGAAGCTGACAGTATCGCGCTTCATCCTCTGTCATAAAATTTCCAAATCGTAGCCACATTAATGAATTTGACACCGAGGCTAGCTCATTTCAACGTATTTTGTATAGCTTTGCATGTCGAATTTTCTTTTCTATTTTGCTATACAGGAGTGCTTTGTGAGCTGCTATTACGTTCTCGACAGTAGCATTTTTTACGAGGTTGTACATAGTCTTTTGATAAAGCACAAGAAGAAACTTCTGCTTCTGCGAACATGATCTGCAACCCCCGTCGTCGCAGAATTCGCTCGTTTCTTCAGTTCTCAGAGGCTGATCGCACACAAGAACATCGAGCAATACCGCCTCTAGCACTTTGCTTAGCCAGTTGCTCTACAAAACCTCGATTCCTCGAGTAATAACTTCAAGGTAACGTCATGTTGGTTCCAAAACTGGCAGCGTGCTCTATTACACCTCTCACGGAGCTTTTCACGACCACATCTGCTTTTATATGTGGTTTTATCCTCCAGTTTCTTCTCGGACTTTTGTATTCTGACTGTACGACCACACAGCATTCTTCCTTTTGGTTTCAAACTCATTTTGTAACGAGTTTCCCTTCCGCTTTTTTGCCATGCGTGATATTCTTCTTTTCTTTCGTCTTCGTCCTTCTCTCTCTCTGCTCATGCGACAACGGGTCGAATAAGCATCATTGTTATGATCCATTACTTCTCTTCAACGCTTGAAAGTCGCCTGTGATGTGGACAGTTCGTCAGAGACACGTTCCCGTCCACTAATCTATTCAAATGCTGGAACGTTCTCTCGTACCACTATTATTTAATTCGTCGCGTCGTTGACTGACGATACCATCATCCCTGTCATCATCGCTGGTCCGACGGCATCATTCTTGTTGTCACCGCTACTTCCAGCTAGCGGTGTTGCCGGTGCAGTAAAATCCATATATTAATCGCGGCAAATGACCCCTTGGTCATTTGCCAAACTCATGTTACACCGGCGAACGGGTTACCACCACCCTTGTAATCATTGCTGGTGATGGCACCATTCATGATATCACCGCTACTTCCAGCTAGCGGTGTTACCGGTGCAACAAAACCCAAACATTAATCGCGGCAAATGACCTCTTGGTCATTTGCCAAACTCATGTTACACCGGCGAATATGTTACCATCACCCTTGCTATCATTGCTGGTGATGGCACCATTCATGATATCACCGC